GGGCGAGTCCCTTCCCAGAGGCCCACTGAGGACTCCAGAGTCGCCTCCGTCAAGCACCTGCCGGCACCTGGCACCTGGCTTCGCCGCCATCGCGGCACCGGAGCAGAGGCCTTGGGCCGTGGGAGCCTCAGCGGCTGCCTGCTCCCTGTGGGGCCACAGCGCCCGCCTCCGAGACCTGGTCCCCTCAGGCCGTCCCCACAGACCCTCGAGCCCTCGTGTCTCAGGACCTGGGCATGCGGGGTCTGCGTGGGGGTCGGCCGCGCAGGGCACGGGGGCAGGGGACTGGACGTCGTGGGTAGGGCAGAGGCTGGGGAGGGCTCTGGGCAGAGGAGGGTCTGGGCAGTTTCTCTGCCAAGTGTGGAGTGGAGCGGGGGTGGGCACGGGGCCCGGGACAGGCCGCTGCAGGGGAGGCGGCAGGGCTGCTGGGAGGGAGGAGGCCAAGCCTGGGCCTCCCGTCCCCTCGAGCTGAGGCCTGTCCCGGGCGGCAGCCGAGGAACGAGGCTCAGGGAGGGCTGGTGGGGACCAGGAGGCCCCAGGCCTGGGCAGAGGTCACCTCTGGCTTCCTGCCCACCTGACGCTGTAGTTGGGCAGGTGTGGGGACGCCTCCTCCACCCAGACCCTGGGGAGCTTCATGTCCCTCGAGAGCATGGGACAAGCCACCAGCCTTCGCCAGGAGGGTGCCGCGGCGCACGCCTGTGAGCCCGTCTCCTGGGGAGGCCGAGGCAGGAGGATGGCGAGTTCAAAGCCAGCCTCTGGAGCCACTGAGGGAGGCCTGGGCCGCTCAGTGAGACCCGTCCCGAAAGAGAATATAAAAGGGCGGGGGGCGCCCCGGGTCCGGTCCCTGGTAGCACCGTCATAAGTCACTACGATGAGGTGCCATGGCCTGTGGCCTAGGTGCCACCATCAACCCGTCCTGGGGCTGGGGACAGAGGCTTGGACTTGGAGGACAGCTGAGTCGTCACCAGGGCCTCACGGTGGCCAGACTGGGCTCGGAGCCGCCAGGCCTCCGTCCCGGGTGGAGCGCCGGCCTCTTGGCCTCCCTGGGGGCGGGGTGGGCGGTCCTGGGGTCCAGTCAGCGTCCCCAAGACGTGTGGGGACACCGGCCTGGAGCCTCAGGACCCTGCCCGGCCACGCGGAGCCCTGCGCTGGCCTGGGGAGGCTCGGCGTCCCGGGAGCTGGCCTGGGGCCCTGCAGACCCTCCGCTTTGATCAGCTTCGCGGCCCCGCCCCCTGCCACCCGGCTGGGTCTCGTCACCGGCACTTGGAATATTAGCTGTCCCCGAGAGCCGCTGCAGGCCCGCCCACTTCCTGCAGCCCACGCCCTGACCCTTGGCCTCTGCCCTGGGAACAGACCCCGGCGGCCTCTGGTGACCACCAGCCTCCAAATGCAAATCAGAGCCCAGGCCCCGGGTCCTGCCCCCATCCACCCCGCCTCCCCAGGGTCCTGCGGGCTCTGGCCACCCCCTCAGAGACGCCTCCCTGGCCCGTCCAGCAGCCCCACCCCCACCCCCTGTGACAACCCCGCCCCCGCCCCTCCCTCCTGGAGTCGCGCACCCTGTCACCTGCTCACCCCTCCCCAGCACCCACTGGCCTCTGGCACACAGAAGGCGCTCAATAAATAACTGAAAGGCCAGCTCTGGTGGGGACAGCCCAGGGCCACCCGCCTGACTCCAGCCCCAGGAGCCTCCAGAGGGGTCAGCCCTTCTCATGGACGAGCGACTGACCCGCCTGGGGTCCAGCCCCCAGGAGCAGGACCGGGTCCCCTGCCCAGGCCCCTTGGTTGGTCCCCAAGGCCCCCACTACCCTCCAGCCCCCACCCTGCCGGTCACCCCTGCATGGACGGCCCTGACCCGGAGCTGCCCGCACAGGTGTCCGACTGGACGGGCCGGTTCGGGGCGTGTGGGGGCTTTTGCCCAAGGACTTGCTCCGGGTGCCAGGGCCACCTGCCTGCACCTGCTGCACCTGCCACTCAGGCCGCAAGCCCCGCCCCACAGGCCCGTGTCCTCCTCCCTGCTGGGTGCTCTGTGACCTGGGACAGGTGCACTGCTGGGCCCAGCAAGGACAGCAGCAGCAGGCGGGGCTGGCCGGCCTCCCTCCAGCAGCCTCCTCCCCGTGGCCAGCTGGGGAGCTGCGAGCTAGACGCCTGGTGGGGGTGTGCAGACCGGCACCTGCTGGGGGTGGGCCACTCCCTGCTCACCAACAATCCTGCAGGCAGCTGCTGTGGTGATCCCTGTTCTAGCTGAGGCTGTGGAGGTTCAGAAACAGAGAGGGCAGGACACTTGACCAGAATCACACAGCAAGCAGGATTCAACCCCATTTGTGTTTTTCCTGTTTCTCCAACAGGTTTCTCCCTAGGGAGTGGATGCTGCTTCAGTCTTTGCTGAAAACCTACTATGTGCCAGGCACTTAGCCAGGCCCATGCTCAGCAGACAGGGACCGGCAGAGCCCGGCACCAGGTCGGGGGATGGCATGGATTAGGACACGGCCTCTGGAGCTGACCTCCCAGTGGGGGACAGAGAGCCCACGAGCAAAGGCAAACAGCAGTGAGCCAGGACGGGATGCAGCCGGCCCGCGGAGCTCCCAGGAG